GTCCAGCGTCTACACAACAACGTGCTCTCCTCTGCTCACCCTCATATTGTGAAACAGAACATCTGCAGCAGGGGTTATGTATGCACAAGGGACGAACGCCATCGACCTCTCACCGCATGAAATGAGTCCTACTCACGTGGGAGTCCTCGAGTCTGGGCACTCGCCCCAAATAGAAACTTCTGTCTCTGCGATAGACACGATTGGCCGAGTCTGATCCTCGTATTTGGCGTTGGACTCTCCTGAAGAGCTGATAGAACCCTTGCCTTGCACAAATCAGCGAACCACTCACTGCGCTGCCTGCTAAAGAGCAAGCATACAGTCAGTAGGCCATACCATCCCGACGGGACTCGTCGACGTCATGACGATAGGCTCTTCGGGAGCGCCATCATCCGTATATGTGATGACCAGCTGGCTATGGCCTCTTACTCGTTACTCTTCTGGTCATCACATTACACCAAGTGAAATTACTCCAAGTGCAGCTTCTCTTGTGACTCTGTCCCAGTCCGTCACTCTTGGCAACTGTAGATTCTCCGAGATAGCGGATTACACACTCGAGTATATTTCCGCAAAGGGGGTCATCTCCTTCGTGATGTGTTACAGGCCGCGCAAAGGACCGATATCTTTCCCCGAGGCCGATCATCAGACTGTGTAAGGTCAAGAGTTGGTTGATCTCTATCAAGAATCCGACAAACAGCTTCTTCACCAGACCTAACGGCTCAATTGCGAGCCGAAATCCATTCTGTACGTCATGACGTTTGTACGATTGCGTAGAAGACAACAAGATGGGTTTTGCGTTTACACAAATCGTCATCTGATGGCTATACACCTCAGACATTCTAATATATTTCTGGCCTTCAATTGATGTCCCTATCTATCTATATTGGTCATATTATCGATTACCTAAATGCAATGCACCACTGGCTTTATGACAGCCTTAGCCTAGCCTAGGTACTGTTCCTCCTGCCATTGGGTCCAATCCAAACAACAGTGCCTACTACCACAAAATGCAAAATAAACTCCAGGCATACAAAAATGTATGTAAACCACAATCGTAAAAAGAAGCAAAAGATAATTCCTTTGCCGTCAGCAAGACTCGAACTTGCGTTTTCAGTGCTTCGAAGAGCCACAAACTGATGTACTGACCCCTATACGATGACGGCTTGACAGGATGTGATGCAAGGGTGGAGTCATACTTTAGTATATACCCTATCCACACAATACCTTGCACCAAAACACAATCATGCATGTTGAACTCCTGCAAGCTATCCTCACTGAGGACACATGGACTCTCATCATGGTCCACGTCTGGAAGTAATTTGGCGATAAATAGCTCAATTATATAAGAGCGTTGCGCCATAAGTCACTATCATCCACAGGAAGACTCAAGTCGGTGATATTACAATAGTATACTACAGCGTTGCAGTACCAATCTCGATCCTCTTATACTTATTTGAATGCATCTTAAAACGAGATATCACTTTCTGAAGCTAACTCATACCTTCGTCGGTAGCTTTGTAACAGAAACATACAAGGCATGGCTGCCGCGATGTTACGTTCGGTCCAGTATATGCTTCCAGAGCATCGATTAAAAATAAAATAAAAAGTATGTCTAGTTCATACAAGAGCAATGAAATACCGTCTGCCCATACCGGGTATAATTCTGCAGCACACCGACCCCAAACACCGTCCTTTCCATTTCCGTGGAGTCTAATCTGCTAGGCACACCCATACCGCCTCCCAGCCTTGAGCTATAGTATGACGAAACACAACCATCAAGTGTAAAACAACAAAAGAAAAGGAAAACAAGAGAAAGGTTAGCATCAAGAGCCATTCTAGTGCAAGTGGACCGAGTCCTTTCTTTAGAGCGCCCCAACTTCTGTCTTGCTCAAAACTTCTACATCTTGTCAAAAGTCTCCTCCTTTCCCACGGCATACAGAGCTTGAGCCTGAAACAAAGGCGTCTTGCTGCAGGCGATGTGTGGATAAATATTAAAGGTAATGTGAGTCGGTGATGTATCGAGCTTTGCTTCTTCTTCCAAGCCCTCACTTCGTCGCAGATGATGTATACGTCCCAGTACTGATAAGCCTAAGTCGTCATTCTAGAAGAACGACGGCTTGGCGAGGACACGGTACTCTATGTAGTCCTCGCCGTCAATGTTGATGATGGTACCTTGCGAAACGAGTTTTCCAGTAAATGGACCTTGCGTCTTGCGTTCATACTTCACCCCGGCGTACATCTTTGCATCCTCGGCATTCGTTCTTAGGCGGAGGCTTTCCTGGCGTGCCCAGACCTTATTGAGTCGTTGCATTTCGTCCCGCTCGTGTAATTGTTGCCGCCCGTTAACAGCTAAGCCAGGGATATTCGCTGCAGCTGCTTGGGCTGCCTGAGCGGCTGCGGCTGCTGCACGTTCACGGTTCGCTGCTTGCATGTGAGCGCGTTCCTGAGCGAGTTCGACGCGTGCAATCTCGCGCTCCGCTAGAGCAGATGTTCTTTCGATCGCATTGTTGTTTAACGATGTCCTGCCCGTGCTTTGACGAGGAGCTGCCGCAGGCTGAGGAGGAGTAGTGTCGATATCTATGTAGGACTGGCGTGCTTCGGCTCTGGCGGCCTCGACGCGGCGACTCTGACGCAACTCGTGCCCGCCATACCCCATTCGCCCTGTCTGATCAGGTTCTTCGCCATAATCGCCTGGAAGACGGGGCAGAGCGGGTGCAATAGACAAGGGAGCAGGCGCCTTGTAATTCGTTCCCGCAGCCCTTGCCTGTGCTTCATAAACAGCTTTGGTCTCGTTTGAGGTTCGCTCCCCTTCTTTCTCTCCCATGTCTATCTGATACTGTCGAACACGGCAATATTCCTTGATCTCGTTCCGTGCTAGGTTCTTCAAGTGCGGCTCAAAAGCAACTTCCTCGTATGCAATCCAGAGTGCACCAGCCCCAGCTGGGAAATTTCCTTCAACGAAACGTCCATCGCGCGTCTCTCGTACTAGCTTGACGCGGAACATATCATTTTGTCCCAAGATTCCGTATACTGCATGGCGATCCCTAGGGTCCGGCGAGTTGGACTTTGCCCAATGCCCAATAAGAATTCTAGTAGGTCTTGAGCCGGGCAGGGGATCGACGGTATGTCGTAGAGGTTGCGGGCCACCGGGGGCTGGCTGAATGGGAGTATGTTCAATGACAGGGCCATTAGAGGGAGGCGGGTTGGCTGGCGCAAACCCTCCGCTCGTCCTCCTCCTTTTGGCATCGCGATTTTGTTGCAAGTGTTCGGGAAGATCAACGCCATAAGCAACCTGAGGTAGATTTGTGCCGTGCTCGGCAGTGGAGTTGAGATTCGCCCGACGGACTGCTTCTTTAGCGGCAGCTTTCTCAGCAGTAGCTTTCTCTCCCTCATGCTCGTCTGTCCCAATTGCTTCGGCGCGAATCTTGACATACTCCTTGACCTGTAGCTGGTCTAAGCCCACAAGATGATCCAAAAATACAATCTTGTCGAAGGTTACCCAACTTCCGCCAGGTCCTGGTGGCAAGGGGTATTCATCTGATATGGTTTCTCCAGATAATGTGGTGGGCTGGATACGGGTCCGTAATCGCTCGCGAACATCAATGAAACCAATGACGGCATGTTTAAGATCCACTGTAGGAGCCTCTGAGTCTCTCCAATATCCAATGGTGACGCCTTTGACGCTTCCGGTGCTTAAGCGTGGAGGCTTGCCCTTCGTTGCAGTAGCTTGTGATTGTCGTTCGTCAGTGAGAGACCTCACCGGCTCCATTTTCCTTTCATTGAGGCCCTGGAAAATGGAGTTGCGTTTTCTCTTTGGATAGTGGGAAGCCACGGGCTCATCCTCAGCATCTCCCATAATCTCGTCCTCGCCTTCAGATGCTGGCCGAAGAGGGGATGATTTGCGAATACCGTTAGTGCGGGCACCCACAACTATCTCGTCCTCAAGTTCGTTGAAGTCAACTCCTGACGGAGAATGCAGGGTGCTCGCCGGCTCACTTAGCTCGCTTTCAGCGTCTACGTCGCCGATGGAAATTTTGCGACCGTTGATCTGTCTGTGAGGTTGAGTTAGATGTGATTCATTGGCCAGTGCTATATTCTGAAACGCAGGGTGATATAAGACAAATGCATTGAATGAAGTCGACCACTGCTGAACTCGGGCAGAAAGTAAGATGCCCGACCACTCTATCTGATTAAGCACCGGTGTATAACGCATAGGACAAGAAAGGATACGGGCTGAGGCTGGCGGGATCCCGAATCCATCGTCAAATTGAGGTGATGTTCGTTAGGTTGGTGAAGCCTGGTGTGGTTGCAGGGGTGTATGATACAGTACGAGGTGAAAGATGACGATGTTACAGGGGCAAGGATGTGAGACCAAAGGGGGAATGGGAGGAAGAACTGGGGTACCTAAGGCTTTTGACAGAAACCATAGTCTTGGGTCCACACCCTGGGGATAGATGCGAGAGCGTGTGGCTGGCTCCAAAATACTCCTCGTTTCCAGTAAAGGGCCAAAAGAATAGTTGATTTCAACAAAAACTTTGAAGAAGAGGGTGTATGCTGAGACAAAACATAAGGAAATAATACAAAAACAAAGATGAAAGCGTGGGTAGGAAAGAAGGTCTGGGCCAAGATAAACAAGAGAGAGTGGGTGAGAGAGAGACAATTGCTGCTGCCAGTTGTCATTGAAGCAGGAAAGTTGCGGTGGTTGCTGCAACACCTCCAACTATAGAGTGTGAATGCAACTTGCGGCCGTGAGAGAGTGATTCAGCCTATTCGGTTCATGTTGGGCAACATTCGACACCGCTTGGGATCAAATCCTGTCACTTCCTTGGTTCAACGGTAACTAGATTCAGAAAGCCACCGTATCTTTCGAGAAATCACGATGAGATACAGTCAGGCCAGATGCGGTCAACAACAATTGCCCTGGTGTCGACAAATCGGGCAATGCCAACTAACTTAGGCCGTAAACCCTTGTTCGAAGCCACGCCACTCGCTCACTCTCTGGCTCAATCACTTGACTGGCTGAGGACGCGAAGACATGATGGCGAAGCAATCGAATACGACGTGAATGTTTTGATGAGTCTGGAAAAGTTTTGAGGGCAGAGAGACAAAGAAAGAGGAACAACCAATAACAACAGAGACATGACTTGCCTTGGTGATGCACTTATAGCGGCAGACGGAGCAACAACTGGCGACTTTCCATTAGCAGTACTAGGTGAATGCGCGTTCACCGGTGATGGAGCGCGATCCTTGGTAACTGGAGCTGGAGTTGAGGCCCTCGGTAATGGTGATGGCGGCATGGCTGCTGGTGGAGATGCGGCTCGAGGTGCTGTGGTGACAGATATAGCAGTTGTTGCAACGCTGACGGGCGCGCTCTCAACCAAAGGGCTCTTAACCTTTATGGCGCGGGCAGAATCTGGCGTTGGAACACGAGCTGGTGAGGCAGCTCTTGAAGTTGAAGGTTTGGGAGCACCAGAAGAGAGCGCGGGTGATATGGGCTCAGGTGGCGCAACCGGCCTGGGCTTGTCGCTGTCCGTATTTTCCATGACGCGACTTGAAGGAATACCTCACTTGGTTATACTGAAGCGCGAAAGAGTTGTCGTTGGTTGACTGGCTTCGGTTGATGAAAACGCAATTGGGTTGACCGTTGGGGGTCAAGAGAAAGACTGGAGGCAGAGAATTAGGTGATGGCGCGTTATCAAAAATCGAGTTCAGGTGGTTGCAAGAAAAGAAGTGAGTTGACTTGCGCGTCAATGGTCGCAACTCAGGTTGCCAATTAATTACCTAGTACCTTGGGCTTGGGTATTACCTGAGGCTAATAAGGTAAAGCAAGGCAGAAGACTAACTAGTACAGCCACTGCCACAACTTGGGAGGTGAGGTGAGATGAAATAAAATAAGGTCACCTCAGGTAAAGTTGAAGTGGATGGCGTCGGGAAGCAGGAATGGGAGAGTCAAGACCAACACCCTGGTTGGTTGAGGATCTGATTCTGGAATCTTAGAGCCGGGGGCCCAGGGCTAAAGACAATAAGCGCAGTTAGTTTACCAACTTGGCAGATAGGAAGTTGACGTGTAAGGACAAGAGAAGTGATTACGTACAGGATAACTCAGAGGTAAGGTAGTTGCACGTGAACAGAGCTCAAAGAGCGAGAGACTGTCGAGTTGACGATGAATAGTCGAGGAAGAGGAATTAGGTAGGTAGGAAAGGGATAAGTTAACGTTAGGTTGAGAACGGACGGGAGAATGAATAGTAAGTAATAAAGCAGAAAGCAGCCCAGACATGGAATCTCAAAATGGGGGCGTGTGGGGCCCTGCAAAGAGCTAAGGCAAAAGTCAACAGTTACCTTGTGTCGTAACGGAATTGCCAGGGAGCCCGGAAGAGAAGTTGTGTGGAAACGGTAGAAGAAAAGAGTGGATTTATAGATGCCTGGGTTAAATCTTACGAAATGAATCAATGACAAGCCAACGCTATCTACCAGTTGAACCCATGGAGGCGAGAGTATCTCATGCTTGGAGAACTTGTTCTGCAACTGTATCAGCACTGACACGATACTTACTGTTGTGACTGGTCGGTTACTCTAAACATTCTCCCTTGGTTACTTAGATTGGCTCTTGGACCTTAAGACCTTGGCTCGCCCCCTCACTGAACTGCATTGAGTGACTGTGCCTTCGATTCTCATTCTTCGATTATTGGAGATTTACGACATCAACCTGGCTTGCTCTGATTGGCCACGAGAGTTGCCAGCCTTGATTCAACATCACACTTGAGATGCACCAAGAGCAGCAACAACGAACCAGAATGGGGAGAGCGTCGAGGTTCATTGCGTTTATCAGGTAACTCGGGATCAGCTCTACGCATTCTTAAATGACCACAAAGGTAGTTGTGTAGTTGACCATAGAGAGAGTTCCCTATCAGCCATCAGCGCTTCCACCCATCATCCCCCTTTCAACCATATTTGCCTTTCTATACCCACTCATCACTTCTACACTGATTTTTTCTGACCTCTCTGTCTGATGATGAGTCTCCTTTCTTGTGGTTGCGAATGTTCGCTCATGAAACATCTCATAGGTGGACGCTTTAGACCAACTCATGCAATGCTATGTACACACCTATGAATATCCTCAGTCACCCCCATAGGTTCACAGTCTCTTAGATAAGGCGTTGTCAAGTTCTGTACTCGATGTGCCGATACAGCAACTCTAATCAACAATGGCCCATGTAGCCCATGTACATATTTTTATTGAACTTTATCACGTCGCATCATTTCCAACGTGTCTTTCCGATTCCCCTCATTGGCACCTATTGGGCTGTGCATTATTCTACCCGTGCTAGTTGACAACTACTGACGCATACACTGACACCGCTCCTAAGGCTCCCGTGAATAGAATAGACGTGTAGGCGAAATGCCAAGGATACGAGATTCCAAATTGGTAGCGAGCGCAGTCCGGTTACAGAGTGATACAACAACTCGTTCTCCTGCCACTCACTAATCGCACCTAGGTACGGAGTAATGAATGATTCATCCTCTGTGACTGATCGACTCAGCCAGCCAGCGCAACACCGCCCCCTAGCAGCAGCGCAGCGCAGCACAGCACGGCGCCAAGACAAGCCTGGCTTGATAGCAGCAATGATGCCACGATTCCCATCAAATAGTCACAAGCTCAAGCCAATAAACGTAAACCCTTCCACATCACATCACAAGTCCCGACAACTCTCCCGTCCTTCTCATGTCTTGTCTTGTCTTCTCTTCTCCTCATCACCAACAAAATTAGCTCAATTCGGCACTTTCACGTTGTTAATTTGAAACCTTGACTTGTGGTAGCACTCCAAAAACTCAATATCCTCATGTTGCATATGCCGGAAAGTGAAAAGTTGAGGCATGTGCTGATTGAATAGTGCCAGTACGTTATGATTATGATGACATATTTAGCCCTTCCTAGCCAATCACGTAACAGCATTGTGTTCCAGTTCTGGACGGTAGCCAATAGTGAACCGCGAGTCTTTTTGCGGGAAAATCTGTAATCTCGCAACCTCATGGCTCCCGCGCTTATGCGCACGCCCTATCTGGACGCTACTACACGCCTCTCAATTTGGGCATCGTTTGTCTTTTATTGCAGTTCAGCTTCCTGTGAGAGCCGTCAGCCAATTTAGCTCTTGGGCAATCTCACATGAATATTTGATGGCAACTGTCCCTTTGAACTCACTCACAGCCATATGGTAAACTTGGCCGACAACTCAATTACACCTTGAAACTGCCGAGGCTGAAAACGAAAAAGGGTATCAGCCCTCGAAACTCCAACGGACATTAGCTCAACTCAGCTCATCTCAGCAATCGGCGGTTGTATGTACAGAATTGTACAGTAACGCACATAGTGGCAGGGCTAAGGACGGATAAATAGCTCCATGCCGACATAGCGCCCGCGGCCAGTCTTCTCGAATCCTGCCTCTTCTTTGCTTACACGAGTTGATGACTGACTTCTCGTCAGCTTCGCTCCATCTGGAGGTCGCCGAGACAGTCAAGCAAGATATCAGTACAAGTGCTTACGAAATAATGAATTGCTATGGACATGTTTACACCAATGACGCCAAGTGCAAAAAGACTCTGATCATCTACATATTTTTCCCCCAGAGACTTGTGAAACTTGAACTCATATTACATGACTCGCTTGTCATCAGATTCAACGTCAAAGTTCCCAATCTCGTAACGTAACCGGGTCTTCGCGATCGGCCCATCACACCCACTAAGTCCCGACAATTCAGCAACCCCTGTAAATTTTATTATTAAGAAAAATTGGACTCTCCTCGGGATGTCAGAGGTCTTTGAGATCTTCACATCAGGGGACAAAAATATACTAGTCAAAGAGCCTGCCAGTAACAAGTTCACTTTAGGTTAACCTAAACCTATCTTGGTTTTTATGCCACTTACTGGTAGAAATGTAAAAGTCCAAGTTTTCCCTAGACTCTTTCTCATTGAATAGGAGCCGATGATACCCACTGCTAGGTCGTCCTGGTTGGATATCATGAGTTACCGTGCCTCTCTGCCAATTATGCACGTCTCGCAAATCACCAACTGGCTTGCTGTGTGTGGTTTAGACAAGTCACAGCGTCGCGCCAATTATGCTTCTCTGCATTGTCTATCATCATAATATGCCTGTCTGAGTTTCAGAGTCTTTTATGCCGTGTTGTCATTAATTCCCTCATTTTTGTTGGTCGATTTCTGCCAAGTTGAGTTGTCAACTTCTTCAAATACTGTCTCGCTGTGATCACAATGTGATTCGTCCGCCACAACTGCATATTCGGTCTCTGGAACAACGCCACTGTCGTTTTCGTTCAAGGCAAGGGTTTTGTGTTCCGGAGATTCGACGGTAACCGAGTGTAATTGTATTGATATTGCCATGTCTGTGAAACGCCTCCCGGGTAGCACATAATTGCGACTGGTTGAACTTTAAGACAAGCGAACCAGTCGATATTCTTAGCCGAGGGTTGCCTGTTTAATGTAGTTAAACCCGGACTTATGTCTCATGTTGGAATACAGCTGTGGGTGAACTATCAGGGCTGCAAATGTTTTGCTCATTAAAGCTGTCGGTGGTGATTATGTAGTTGGGTTTCAATGACATCCAGAGCCAAAAGAAGCTGCCAAGGTTTCCCAACCCAAATCCAAGTTCCGACATTGTAAGTCCGACAATAAGTTGAGTGCAGCCAACACGAGTTCTCACGATGATTATGAGTAGCTTATTGCGATACACGACTTAGTCTGTCAGTATAGCATGTCAACCAACGATATGACTCTGACTATAGCACCTCGAAGAAACCTGACACACGTCAGCTCACCATCTGCATGCTCCGTTGCAAATATAGAAGTGCGATCAGTTTTTGACGTCAATTCATTCGATGTTGTTGCATTCATTTCTTGATTGTAGCTGACATCACCTCCCCCGTCCTCGACCACGTCCTCTTCCACGACCGCGTCCTCTGCCTCCACCACGACCTGTCTTTGGTCCGCCTCTCTGGCCGCCCTGATTATCAAATCTCTCAAATAATCTCTCCTCTCCAAATGCTCCCTCTCCAAATCTCATAAAGTTGACGAGGCCGCGATCCACAATCGCTACCAGCACGTTGCGGTGTCCGTGCTTTAGTCGCTGATACATCCGTCCTCCAGGGCCCTTCCAAGCCTCATTGGGCGGGTCGTAAGGTGTAGATTCTAGAAGAGCTTCGATTTGTTCGAGCGTTGGAACGCATGTGTCGCTTGCGTCAACTACCGCAAAGCGGAAATCAGGTGGTGGTGGGTTCTTTTTCGAGAATGGCGGGCCACCTGATTTCCATACATGAAAGAAAACCCGCCAAGGATCTTGGGGAGGATGAACCACGGGAGGTGTAGGCAGTGGCTTGTGGCGGGGAAGAATGGCAAGTTGGTCGTAGATAGGTCTATAAGCGCGGTAAAGACCTGGCTGAACAAGAGGTCCAGATGGGTTTCGCTTTGGTTGTGATTCTGAGCTGAAGAATGAGAACAGCCATTGCCATAGAGTCTGGGACTGGGGTGTTGGCGCCTCATAGGGTGGCGCGCGTAGAACGTAGAAGCCTGCTCGCTTCAGATGCGAGTAAACCTGATATTGTGGTAGTGTGATTCTGCCCCTCTCACCCTCGTTTCCGATAAAAAGTGAGTATGCCGCCTCAAGACTCAATGGCAGTCCGGCATCATAGTCGTCAAGTCCCATAATCGTCTTCGGTTTTCCATCATCTTCGGGTAGAATGTCCTCCAGTTGTAAATTTGGCCACCAGAGATCCATGGTGCCTCTCTCGATGAGGAAAATAGCCTCCTCAGGCAAAAGCCAGAGTTTTCCTGTACCCAAGCGCTCCTTATGTGCAGGTACCGCCCTTCCAATATCTTTCTGCCATGTTCCGCGCTCATGCTCAACCATGACAACTCTGTCACGTAGCCATAAGCCCTCCTTCTCACTAACTTCCTCTACCTTGGCCCACCAGTCGGGAAAACACCATCCTCGAACCCAGGAATCTTCGCGGTGTATCCTGGTGTATCCTAGGACATTATCCAAGACAGTGCGACTCGCTTCGAGAAGACCATCCTGTGCACGGGTGCCATGTGACTCGAAATCCTTCTCGCCCTTGCGAATAGCTTTGCTTGATACACCGTTCTTGTCGAACATGGATAGGAAGAGCTTGACGTCCGGTGCATCATCATCAACATCTTCTGCAGCAGCACCACTGGTGCCTTTGGCTGGTTGTGCTAAGGTATTGGGATTATCGTCATCGTCAAAAGCCATGGCGGTTATATGGCGAAAGAGCTTTCTTAAGCTTCAGATGAAATTGAAATCGCGTGAGATACTGTCGGAAAGGTCTTCGTAGGCGTCGAGAACAATCTTCGGTCGACTGACGTGAAATGGTGTGGAAAGATAATTTTATGCAAAGCTATGAGCTCCGATATTGATATTTTCGGCCCCGCCAGAGTTGTGGTATTATATACTCTGACAGCGCAACCGATTCTAACAACCAACGAATCATCATCGCTAACTTGGCCGAGTGGTTAAGGCGCTGTGTTTAGGTTCTCATCAGAAACCAAACCCGCAGTGGGAAACCGCGGAGGTTCGAACCCTCCAGTTAGCAAAATAGCGATTCAATTTTTGTTGTTCCTGTCGTCGCTCAAACGTTTTGTCTGATTTGTATATTTGTTGCTGGCCATGACCGAGGGTGGATGATTTGTGCTGCTTGTCTCTGTAGGGAGGGCCATGCTTGAGAGTTGCAATCAAATGATTCTTCCGTTTTTCTTCTTTTTTTTTTCGAGTACGATAACCTTCCATTGCTTCCCATTGTCTTCAAGGTCGTTTCCTTGGCATCATCTCCCTCAGGTCGACTTCAGCTCCTCATGCTGTGATTGTGAATTACTCTACACTTACACTGGACCAGCCTGTAGGACCTATGGATTCATAAGATTCACGATATTTCATTCATGTCACTACAACGTGTAGATCATTTACATCGTGCACTTGCCCACTGCCTGTGCTCATTCCTTTCCCCGAAGCGCCCCCGGAACGCCATGAACTATGCCCGTTATTACAAGAGCCCTATCCCTTCTTCGCCAGTTTCCCCAAAATGCAAACACCCCTGGGTATACTTCAACTGGAGGGAAACCTCGATAGCTCAGTTCCGTTATTGCCAGGCCCTTTCTTATGTCGTCGTATGACCTATTTCTCTACCGTTGTGCCGTTACGCTAGATCTGGCATGGGAGATATACTCCCGACGCGGCTTCAGTTGCGGCTCATTGGCGCAACGGCGTCCTGCCATCTTCGGGTGAGCGTGGCGCATGGCAAAAAGGTTCTTAAAAACCGTCCTTGACCTCCTAGTTTATCATTCAATAAATGGCTTCTTCTGGCCTCCGACCATGCATAGACCCAATGCTCGTAATGAATCGCGGTCGTTGGCGAGAATAACAGTCGGCGCTGGAAGCATCGGGTTGGCCGGATCGACGTGAGAGGCGTCTTTAGCCGCCTGTTCTATCGCGTCCATCTCTTCCTTACAGGCCTGTTGATCTAGGGGGCAGATGACAATTGGCTGTCGTATCATTACATCTCGAGCACCACTAAGATTGACCTTGGACTGTTAGCGCAGACGAGGCATGGAAACCCAAAGGGCGCATACCTTAATAACCAAGTAGAACTCGATTTTGTAAAGGGTAGAAGACGTGGTAAATGATGTGACTTCGTAAAGAGGAAACTGAGGCTTTCCCCGCCTGACAACGCCGTCTGGATCTCTCAGATCCTTGGATGGAAAATCCAGCCCGATATTCGTGGCGTAACCCGCCTCTGGCATCTTTGTCTTAACCGGTTGGGTCTGTTTCGTGACCCTGTTGATCTTCTTCGTAGGTTCATCACCTTCTGGGTTGAATGTGATTTCCTCTTCAACAGTCAAGGTAATCTTTTCAATTGTGACGCGTTTCGCTTTACTTAACCAGTCGAGGTTTGGCGACAGTTTGATATAGACTGTGATGGGATCCTTGGGGCCGTAGCTCCACCGTGGTAGATTGATGCCGAGGTGTACGATATTATCGTTGGTGACCAATTTGGATTCGGGCTTGTTATACATTCCAAATGTAGAAAGTGTATCATAGCGTTGCAAAGGTATGGGAAAAGTGTACTTGTACTGGTTGCTGTGGCCCTGCTGAACAGTAACGACGAGTTCGTAGTATGTTTCGGCGGTTCGGCTGGGTAGTTGCAGGGACGCGGGAGGTATACGCCGATTCGACTCTTCGCCGCCGCGACCAAAAGGAATAAACAGAACGAACGGTAGATCCATAGCAATGATCCTCTCAGCCTCCTTCCCGGAAGAGCAGCGAAAGAGAAGCTGCTCTTTTCCGACCAGATCCGTGGTCTCGCGGCGGGGGGCGCCTAGATGTCGTTTGGCAATGCTATCTGCATCGGGGTGTATTGTTTCTCGGCGCTGAAGACATATTCGAACGAGGGAGACAGGTACGGGCATGGAAAAACCCTGGCCAGGGCGAATTTCGACTTTTCCTTCGATGCGCGGCTACAGAAACCAGCAATGTCAGCATAACGAGGTCCGGCGCACTTGAACTGGCGAGGTAAGGATGAGGGCGTAAGCAAAGACGAGCTGAAGCTGAAATTGACGTACCAAAGTCGCAGAGATACCAGGGTAGCCCACGAGAAAGCTACTGTTTGGAGGACCCGAGACCCTCACGCTCGCAGGGCCCGACATGATCGTGGTTTTGTTGATGCAGCGTCAGGCTTAAGGTTTGTGAGGCCCTGTGAGCCGAGTATCCTAGTGAGGAACGGTACCTAGAGCGGCGGTGTCGAGTGGGGGGAGATGACGGCGACGAAGCGGGATCGGGAGCGGAGGGGGCGGCTGGCTGAGCCCCGATGGCGACGAAAGCGTCGGGCTACGCCAGAGCCAGAATATGTAGAGAGTTGCGATGCCAGAATTGAGCGTGAATGCTGAGAAATTGGTGAAGTAGTGGTGTTCATGAATCCAAGAGTTGCTAAGCGTCGACTGTAGGTTGGTGGAGGGTAAAGCTTATGGAGCCCTGGCGACGAGACCAGTAGCTGCGTGCGAAAGACAGACGGCGGCGGTTGCTCGTGTTGGGTCCTAGGCTACAGCCTTCAGCTCCCACTAAAGCAAGGATATCGTTTTACTCTCTCCAGCTACTGGAAGTATTGCACTATTCCTAGAGTGCGGGTGTCTATGAGAAATGCGTAAATGCTGCCAAGATCTAGTTAGGTGGGGGCAACAAGCAGCGCTCTGGTCAATAATTCGAAGCGCGGAGAGTTGAAGATTATCGGAAGACGCTATGTTGTTGGAAATGACGAGAGCATCACCAGCCAGGATGACGTCCGAAGAGGGAGGGGTTGTTCAAGCTTCGAATCGGACCAGAAGCCGGAAGAAGCAGGTCAATAAGCAGAAGTGCTTGCAGCTAAAGAATGGAAGAAGAATCTGATCCAAAGAGAAATGGATAGGTCGGGTCGGATGGGAATGGCATGGGATGGGATGGAAGACACTGGAGGCTCAGCCTAAACGTGGAGTGCAGAGTGGAGTTTATGCAGGTAAAAGGAAGGAAATCGGAGCTGAAGCTGAAAGATGCAACCCTCTCAGCGGCTTTCGCAGAAACGAAACGAGAGAAACGTCAAAGAGAGAAATAGTGGCAGAAGGATTGCTTTTTCACCGAAACAATAAACCCCCAGCCCGTCTGTAAAAGGCCCAAATGCTAAGCGCTTGCCTTTCCTCTTCCCTTTTCGACGTGTAATCAATTTACCAGGTTCAGGGTCCTGTCAGCATTCAAAAGCGCCTTTGCCAAATCAGAGGATTTGATGGAAATCCATTAATCTCACGCGGTAAGGCAGTCTTGAAGACTTAAGGCTGACTGCCCAGACAATATGTGGAGGCGGCGATGATGAGAGCGAAATGAATGATATTCGTATATGAATAAGTAACTTATTCGATATTGATTGAGTTATTGTATACCCAAGACATCAATATAGGTAATGTCTAGGCTTAATAGAGTTATTCTTAATTAGCTCGTTGACCAACTCTTAATGCTCTTAAGCTGCACGGTCGTTGCTGCAGCACCCGCTTAGTAGAAAGGTACAGTATGAAGATGCTGTCATTGGATTGGGCCATCGGAACCATGTGATCGCTAGTTCCATTCTTTTCATGGATGAATATTACCTGCGTGTAACCGAGTCTCGTTTTCGCTACCTACTATCGACTTACGTCTTACAAGAGATTGTACCGAGATATATGCAACCGTCTCCACCTAATACGACATGAGCTTTCCTAAATGCTGATATTTACCTACTGAATCAACTCATGGACAAATGCTTCATTCCTGCCAAGCATTGACTTTCAATCAAGATCGTGGCGGGCGGGAATAAGCCCAGTTTATCCCCGCTGCCGTAGATCAAGATCGGCATGAAGGAGCCACTTGTGGCTGGAGACCCATCTAGATATCTCGAGTTCCATCTTCGCTACTACAACTTCGATCTATCATTTTTCACATGGACTCGAGAAAGGCTCGTTCTCACGGAAAAAACCCAGCGCAATATGACTGTAGTTGAGGGTCCATATCAGTTCTCGCCAATTCTGCCAAACACAGCCTCCTTGTCTTCGCAAAACAATACCTAGTGCAGCTCATCTATTTCGGTAGTTTACAATTATTGTCTCCTTCTTCTCTTTACTGACGGTGATTTGGTTGAGCTACCATTGCCTGGCAAGGTTATCTTCTGCGATGTTCCCCCTGCTTTCAAGACGCTTTGTCTTTCAATGCTCAATATGCTTGTGCTCTTGTCTTCCTCAGAGTCCCTGTCAAGAAGTCTGATACCGTTCCCCTGATGTTCAAATATAACCGTTGGGCGATCCAGATTTTCGAACTCAACCGGGCGCTCTACGATATAGGCTTCCTTATGCCGCTCCCATCGTTGATGACCTGGCATGCGATCAGCTCCGAGCACATCGCGCCGGTCTTCTCCGAACCAGAAGGTCGGTGCTCCAGGAGCTCCAGAGAAGTAGCACACTTGAAACGGAAGCATTCCAGATAGGCGGCATTCATCTTGGCCCTTATAACGTGCGGCCATAGCTTCCTCAGAGACATCCTCGCCGTTCTTCAAAGCCTCTTTATACCATTCGTCCAATGGTTTGCTTTGGTCCTCTGTTGAGTCAACTAATACCATGACTGGTACGATCCCACCAATTTGTCGACGATCATTTGGAAAGACTGGCTCTTCTCCCACAAGTGACTCCCCGTTGTGTCGGCAGATGTCAACGCGTATTTCATACAACGCAGCAACTGTGGTTGAACTTGCAGTTACGACTGTAGTGTGAGTTTGCGCTGGGTACGTCTTGCTGTCGATAGCCAGATAGGCTATATCGGTCTTGTGCAGAGAAGGATGAGTCGCGCCACTGTCGAGTTGCATAAGAAAGCATACTCGGGGCGCCGTACTGTCATCTTCGACAAAGCACATGCCTTTCTCGGGCGTGCCAAGTTCTCTCATTCTCGTCTCATATGTAAGGACTTTTCCAATATCCTTACGGTTACGATCACTCAACCTTGAGGAAAAGCGGCTATGAAATCCCTTCACACGCTGGAAGCCCATGTGGATAGACCACGCATGAGCATGGTAATCCGCCAGGACGCCCCAGGACCCGGAAGGCTGGGCCCAAGTGGCGGCCATTAACTGTTCAGCTTGGTAGTTACCCTTTGGTGCTAAAGGTGCCTCATACCACAGCCAGCCGTCACCGTACATGCCGTGATATCTATCGAGCCTCTCGTCTCGATCAAGGGTAAAAGACTCGTATGAGGAACAGAAGTCTACCACATTACCAGCATACAGAAGCGTCCACTTGTCCCAGCACTTAATGCGCCCAGACTCATACGCCTGAATCGCAGCGCGTATGTTGATATCGCCAACTGGACACTCACTTCTAGCGAGTGATGCTTTCAAAAGACTCATTCGTTGTTGAATCCGCTGTTGTTTCGTTGTCTCTAGCTCATCACTGGAAGGTCAGCACATATGTCACCATAGCCCTTCAAGCGGGCCGACTTACACAGGTATCAAGTTTTCATCGGTATTTTCCATCTGTGAGAATATCTGTCTGGCTTTTTGCAGTTGTTGTTCGAGACCGGATAAGTCTGCTAATGGCTGAGTTATTCGAGCATTTTCGACAATAGCCTCCCACTGAAGAAGTGATCGCTCTGCTTCTTCCAGGCGGCTCAGATTATCCCCAAGTGATTCACCAATTGCCAGTGGTGGTTTCCAATCTGGAGGAATTGGCCTTCGGGCCCTAGAGGGCTCATGATGAGCAGAGGACATTTGTGCAGATGTACCAGGCGAACTAGTCGACGTTACCGTTTGTACCCCTTGACTTTCCGCAGAAAAGCCCTCCTCTGCTTCTTCCTCTTCCTCTTCTACCGTGTGAGGCGGTGCTGGGAGTGGCTCTGGTCGCATACTTTGAAGTCGCTGGCTTCGTCTAAGTCTGAGGTTGATTTCACGATTTGCCTCCGATCTGCCTGGACGCTGTCCAAGCCTAGTGGCGATCGTTGGTCCTTCTGTTTGCCGGCGAACCCGTTTCCCGGAATTCTTCTTGGTGTTCCCGTCATTTTTGCTAGCCATAGTTGCGCGATTGCTTTGCTACAGACAAGAGAGCAGCTGTGAATGAAGGATTGTTCAGACCTGACTGTCTCAAACCTTTCCGTAAGTTTTTCTATGCCAGCATAAAAGCTCAATTGTACCAACTTCAGCTCATTTCTTTGTCCCCCTTCCCGGTTGGAATCTGCGGCCATCTTGGATTGTGGCGTCACGTTGACAACAAAGAAACAACAGATTGCCCGCCTTTCACTCCATTCTAAGTACCCAGCGTGATTACATCTCCGACACAATTTTGTCCTAGTGGGTGTATTTTTGGCTTTCTTGTACGGGAGCTCTGTGCTCAATGCGGAGCGGGCGTGCCGACTTCTTTGTTGGACTTATTGTGAATGAGATGATGGAAGATGTCAATGCCCATGCTGGCCGTCCCCGAATGCATTCCTTTGTTCGTTCTAGGCAGAGCATGGAACTGTCAATGCTTGTATTGACCTGGTGAAAGAAGAGTAGATAGATTCTTCTTCTTTCACATCATTCCATCCCCATTTCCTCTGGCCTCCTTTTTTCTTTTCTTCAACCCGGCCTGGATGCTCACCACCTTCTTCACGCTCATTGTTTACTTGTCTAATAATTTTTTGAGTCCGATATCGTATTTTCGATCACCATCAACTCGTCATGGCGGAGTCTGTGGATGAGGGAAGCCCTTCGCCCATCCCCGGGCTGAACCTAGCTGGCAACCCCCCTTTAGAAGATGCACCAGCTTCGGCGAGTAGTCCAACACTGGCTCGTCGATCAGACAGAATCCAGGACCTCTTGGGTAAGGCAGACTTCATCTTTTGTGTGTTAGACATACTTACATGCCTTAGAAATAATTCTCTTGACCTTCCGCTTCGATTTCGAGCGACTCCCGCCTGAAGCCCAACGATCATACAATCGGTTTCTAGAAAACAAGAGCTATCATGAGTTCGCAGCTAGACTGAAGCGCTTGGTATTGGGTAGAAGATTGGATGGCTTCATGGAGGGATCGTCCAGTTGCCTGATTGCTGTCACAAAGTTATTTGACAGTAGATATCCCTATCTAGGCCTCAAAAAGCTCCGTGATGGTATGAAACAATCTCGTGCAAA